GCCATTACGATTTAAAACGGATTAATCGAACAGGCCTAAGAGAGAGTTGTACAGCCAGAATTAGTTTCTGATTTTTTTTTAAAAAAGCGACCATTCTAGTGCGCTGGTTTACATCATCGTATTTCTGAACTCAAAGCTTAAACATACTTCTGGCCAGCCCTAACATTTGCATCATAATCTGTAAAGAGAGTGTGGCAGTAGACCATGCCATGGGGTTCCCACCACGACAGTCAGAGACAAACCAGTCCAACCATTGGGTGCTCAGCAACATCTTTTTATTGCATGCCAAAAGAACTGACAAAACATTGAACTTAAAGGGTACAGCACTTTCTGCTGGACCATTAGCTTCACCCAGTCTCTTCCCCAGTGTGTGTTTTTGAGGCAGCTCTGCTGCTGCCTTTTCAAGCATGAGGATCAATCAGCTAACAGCTCTCACCTGTGCTGACTGATCCTCTGTGACTGCAAACCACCTTTTGGTAGCTGACAGCTGAGCACATGACTCCATGTCCTGCATGAACTAACGCAATGCTTCATTTTTTAAAGAATTAAAGAGAACCCACTATTTAACAAAGCTCATTGAATATAACAGGCTCAAGTAAGGAAAGTTGTGAAGAAAGCAAATAAAGAACGTTGGAGAGAGTTCAATAGCAAAATAGGAAGATCAACTCCTTTACAGTTTTTCACGATTGCTTAAGCACGATTTTCAAAACAGGGCCCCTGTTTTCAAAACACTACACACAATAAGCACAACCACACACCCAATAARCAAAACACTACAGATCCTTTGCAAAACTAAACACTCTTGTAAAAACTATACACTTCTTTTTAAAAACCACACTTTGTTACTATATGAAACACACACGTTTCACATTACTATACTCTGTTTGCACRAGTTACACTCTGCTGTGATAAACCTAAAACACTTTTAGCACTTCTACTTCCCYATGATTAGAGTAGTCTACTATCAACAAAGTACAAATATAATGTAAATTCACCAAACACTACACAAGACCAATRTTGCAGACTGAAGAAACTCATTTATTTCTCAACACRCCCAAAATGTTGACATAGAGATTCATAATACTGTATACGTAAATTTGCTTCATTTGAATATGTTTATTTTTTAGGATGCGTGCCAGTGTTGATGTTGAGACCTGATGGATATCGTTGAAAATGGCGGGGTTATTGAAAATGTTAGCTTGGAGCTGCTTGAGTGTTATAGCATTGTTGGCCAAAACCATGTTTACTATCTCCCTCTCTTGCTGTTCTGTGAACATAGGAGGCCTTCCYCCTTKTCGTCCCTGACCCTCAATCCTATGTAGAAAAAAAAMCAGTATACAATAGTACAGTAATTTCACAGGAAAAGGTAACAGAAGTGCTGATAGTGCATAGAATACAGTACTGTAAGCAGTGACTGAAACCGTGCAGATGTTTTGATATGATGATATTTTTATAATACCTATTTTCCAGTCGAAATGTTCTCATCACACTTGCCACTGTATATCGGCTTAGATCTGGCTGTACTCGCAGTCCAGCCTCCCTCAGTGTCAGGCCGTGGTTGACAACATGGTCAACCAGTGTTGCACGGATCTCATTTGTCAGATTCGGTCCTCTTTGAGCACCTTCTTGTCTTCCTCTTCCTCYTCTTCCTCTTCCTCCTCCTCCTCDTCCTCCTCCTCGTCTTACTCTTTCTCTGACTCTTTCCATTGTGCTTGGAGAACGATGAACTCACCTACTGCTTTTTAWAGTGCTTAMACACCTGATTGTTGTGTCTACAATTAAGCAAACAAGTGTTTGCACACCTGATGACTGTGTTGAACCAATTGGTTGGACGGTGTGGTAATTTGACAGTCAGTGCTTTGGTATTGCAAGGACGTGACTTCATGATAGATTTTTGTGTGTAATGTATGTTAAGTGTGTTTAGTGTTTTGCAAATCACTGTGTGTAGAGTTTTGCAACAAGTGTGAGGTTGACAATGAGCTTATAGTTGTGCAAATATGGGCTGATGTTTTGCTTCTTGAGTGTAAGGTTTTGCTAATAGTGTACTACTTTTAATTTTAGTGTGTAAGCAATCCAAAAAAACTGTAAACAATTTATGGGGAATGACAAAAAAGATAAAAAGAATCTGAAGAAAGTGGCAGTACCCAATATTAAAAGTTGGAGAGAAAACAGCAATAACAAATGAGGACAAGGCCGAAATAATGGTTAAGGCATTTGCAGAAATTCACAGTACTGATAATCTAACACAGGAAAGGGAGCGAGGGAGGGAAAAAATTAGACAAGCAAATCCAGGGATTATACAGAGAAGAGAAAGCACGAGTGGTGTGATGGATGCACCTTTTACTTTATAAGAGATGAGGAGAGCCATAGGAAAAACTGGGTTATCATCTCCAGGGAAAGACCAAATCTGTTATATGATGTTACAACACTTGGTAAAACAGACAGAAATCAAACTTTTAGGGATATATAATAAAATATGGGAAGAGGGAAAATTACCCACAAGCTGGAAAGAGGCAGTCATCATTCCTATAATAAAACCAGGAAAGGACCCTACAAAACCAACAAGCTACAAACCAATTGCACTTACATCGCATATTGGAAAAATAATGGAAAGGATGATCATTGAGAGAAGGACATCCATATAGAGAGTAGAGGTTTCTTATCTCCTTATCAGAGTGATTTTAGGAAAGGGAGGGGAACAATGGATCCAATCATCTGTTTAGAGACAGAAATTAGGAAAGCTCAAGTTACAAAAGAATTGGCAGTGTTCTTTGATGTCGAGAAGGCTTATGAAATGGTATGGAAAGAGGGCTTGATTATAAACTTGACAAAATGGGAATAACAGGAAGAACTTTTAACTGGATAAAACACTTTTTGTTGGATATATATATATACATATATACAGGTTAAGATGAGATCAACAATATCAACCAGGCATAAGGTAGATAACGAAAAGCCTCAGGGCAGTGTGATCAGCCCAATACTTTTTTCCATCATGATTAAGGATGTGTACTCAGACATAAGTTCTGATATAGGAGGATCATTATTTGCTGATGATGGGGCCTCATGGAAAAGGGGTAAAAACTTAAAATGTATCCAAGAAAGGATGCATTTATATTATATTTATATAGCGCTTTTCTAGTCTTGAAGACCACTCAAAGCGCTTTACACTACAATTTTCCATTCACCCATTCACACACACACACACACATTCATACAGTGCTTCTATAGCTAGCACTTTTTTTGATGTTCTATTGGGCAGTTTTGGGGTTCAGTATCTTGCCCAAGGACACTTTGGCATGCAGATGGGAAGACTGGGGATTGATCTTCCAACCTTCTGGTTGGAGGACGACCGCTCTACCCCCTCAGCCACAGCCAAGTAATGATCTTTTCTTGGAAAAAGATGAGAAACGCTAGTGTAAAAATGTATGGGGAACAATTAGAGCAGGTAAGCACAATCCAATATCTGGGGGTGTTATTTGACACATAACTGACCTGGAATGTACATATAAACAAGATGGAGAAAAAATGCAAAATAGTTCTTAATGTAAGGAGATGTCTCAGAGGGTCTGAATGGGGAGCTAATAGAAGAGCTATGGAAAAAAAAATAGCTTGAATAAGATCATTTACAGACTATGGGAGTATGGTTTACAGGGCAGCAGCAAAAACTTTGATAATTAAAATAGAAAGACTACAAAATCCGGCACTGCGACTATGTTGTAGGGCTATTAAGACCTCCCCCAATATAGCTGTCCAAGTGGAGATGGGAGAAATGCCACTGAACCTTAGGTACAAACAGTTGATGCTAAACTACTGGACAAACTTACAAGGTCCCAGAGAAGAAGAACATCCAACAGTGAGCACCCTGACACCATGCTGGGAAAGTGAAAAAGATAAGACCGAATGTTATGTATTTACTGTCCGTAAATAAAATGGCAAAAAATATGATATTAGATCATAAAATATACAGTGCAACAATGCCTTATCCTAGGACACCAACGTGGATATTTTCCCCCAAAAAATTGAAAAACTGAATTTGCTTTTGTTATCCCAGAACTAAACATAAATATAAAGCAAAGTACACCAGATCACATGACAATTTATAAAGTAGAGATGTTGGCAATAGCTATGGCATTACAGTGGAGAGAGCAAAACAAGTTAAAAAAAGGTTATATTATGTTCAGATTCACTATCAGCATTGGTATCACTTCAATCAATGTTATCCCACTGCAGAGTGGATATTATTTATGAAATATATGAAACAGTATATAGACTAGATCATTCACAAGCTGAAGTCCGAATTATGTGGATCCCAGCTCACAGTGGCATTGAGGGAAATGAAAGGGCAGACTCACTTCATCAGCTAAGTTGTATTAAAACAGGAAATAAATAAGGAGCGAACATTCAGTAGGGCTGAAGCCAAAATTATATCATGATTGACATACAGAAAAGTTGGGATGAGGGAGAAAAAGGACTCCATCTGTATCAAATAAAGCAGGAAGTGGGAGGAATGAAAACAGTAGGGAAAAACACTAGAGACAGACAGTTATATCAAGGCTAAGAATAGGACACACAGGACTAAACAAAAAAATGCATTTAATAGGGAAGCAACCAGCAGGACAGTGTGAATGTGGTTTAGGAGAGGAAACTGTTGACCATGTAATTTGTCACTGCCAGATACATAACAGAGAGAGAGAAAAACTAAAGAGGCAGCTGAGGAAATGTGGGGTGGAAGAATTAAACCTGAAGAATTTGTTCAGTATTGGAGAAGAAAAATATAAAGTATTGTCTGAGTTTTTAAAAGAAATTGGTTATATGAACATGATTTAAGTTTAAGTTATGTATTATTTTTTCCCATCTAGTTATTATTATTATTGTTGTTTTGTTTTTTATGCATTTCCGCAGACCTAACACTCTGACCCACACTCCAGCATGATAGGTGGCAGTAATACACCCTAAACTCTAGGGGCCACCCGTTATAAAACAAGAAGAAGAAGAAGAAGAAGAAGAAGAAGAAGAACGTCATTCAAACTACAAACACCACAAATATATCATTCTCTTGCCTCTGACACCAGACCAGACCGGGATAAAAAATAAAGGTGGTGGCAGTATCACATGATTTTTGTCAGGTCTCTTCAGAAGAGCAACAGGCAAGATTAGCTGTGATATTATCAAGCTCATAAGAACACGGACTTGGCTAAAAGCATATCGTTTTTTTCTGCATAATCTCTTGCAAACTCCAGTCCAGTTGATGGCAGTAATGCACCTTTAAACTGGTTTTCCAATCGCCAATAAGCACTAAAGAACAGGAGGAAGAAGTTGGTGCGACATGCTGCTTCCCTACTTGCTGCTACTGCGTTAAACGTCGTCCTTAAACCTGGTGGATTCGCATCCCGGACACCCTCGCTCTTGGCCCTTAGGAATGAAGAGCACAACTTTGTCTTGAGCTGAACACGCAACTTCCACTGTAAGTGTAGTCGGCTGTCTGTGCTCTGCATTAGTATGTTTAATTTATAAAGTGAAATTTCCTTGCATGTCTCACTGTAGGTTAGCAGTGCAACCAGCTAGCAACTAACACGCTAACACCAGTCGTCAGAAGCCCAAGTTGACAGCAGTTGAGTCTGTACCCTTAGCTATAGCCGTCTGCCAGCGTCGAAACCTGGAGCTCCGTCTACTTTAATGAGATAATGGCTCATATCGTCTCCATATAGTACCTGTTCAAGAAGACTGGCTTAACAAAAAGCTGCCTACTTGTCCTTCACAAAAAATGACCAAAGTCAACTAGCCTAAAATAGCCGCCTGTGTAAAGTTAGCACGAGTTAAAATGTTAACTTCCGGTTGAATCTTATAAAGTAGGGGAAATATCCGGGCTCATTACTTTCCACAAGATAATTTTGTTATTTCATTGAGCTTTAGCAGTGTTTAGGCTCGCTGCAATATGGTAATGTCAGACGTTTGAAACATAACAGTGAGCATTGCTGTATATATACCTACCTACTGTAAGATATGTATTCACTGTTTAGCATTTACATACACTTTAGCATACTGTAACATATACACATACTTAAGCATACTGTACCATATATTTATTCACAGCACTTCTGGTTGGATGCAAACTGCATTCTGTTACTTTGTACTTGTGACATGTGCAATGACAATAAAGTTGAATCTAATGTAATCTAAGCTAAAGCCTATTAGAGTAGAATTAATATGATACACATTAATGAAGCTTTCCCACCCTTTTGTTTTGCTGGAGATGCTGCATTTATGACCGTGCAGTCCTGACATAAGTTATGTTTATGACCTTTGTCCCATAATCCATGTGATCAGTGATTATAAATAAGAACATTAAAACTAATGCATGAAGGAACATTGATCAAGTTGCTCGCTGTTGGGGGAAACTTGGATTCTTTGTCATCTAGGTCATGGTGTTGAAACACAAGTAAGTTGTCTATGTCCACATGTACAACTCCTGAAGGTAGCAAATGTATATCGCCTGTAGTATTTACTTAGAAATATCATATACACTATAACTTGCCAGTATAGTATTTATAATCTTCAGAACATACACACAGGACAATTTTGCCAGAACTTTCATTTGTCGGAAACAACTTGAAATTTTGCAGAAACTGCCAATATCTTTTACTCCTTTATCATTCCTTTAATGGCGGTTGGCAAACTACTTTTAGGCGCCACCTTCAAAATTTTTTAGTTTTTAGAATATACGGTGAGATGGTCAATTTCACTTTTACGTTTGAAGGTCTTCTGCACAATTTAAGTTACCAACTACCATTAGATGTTAGCAGGTGTTCGCGAAAAACCAGCTGATGTAAGTGACATAACTTCAGTCGTGCACCTTAGTGTCATCAAGTTTTGTGCCCTTGTAATCAGTGATACAGGCTGAACTTAGGTAATCTGATTGGCTTGTAGGCCTCTACAGTATGCCTTTTTAAACAGAAGGACAAACATGGAGGAGGGCTGACATTGTTTGTTAAAATGAGAAGGCTTTTACATTTTGCAGCATGAGCTGGAGATGATTGGAAATGTATTGTTTTAAACGCAGTGGAACAAGTACACAAGATCCAGTTGGTGACCCTTCCAGGTCAGCTTGCTCGCTCACTCTCTTGCTATTGCGGGTTTCTGTCTGAGCCTGATATCGTAAATATCAAACATGAGGCTCCGACACAATCAGTAGCATTAAGATTATTTTGCAAACCCCCCACACTTCAGGATTATTTGGTCAGATAATAAACACAGATTGACCTCCAGTCAGGAATGCCATTGCGATTGTCGGAAGGGGAAAATTGGGTCTAAAATTGGCTTGATTATTCTTTAGTTTGCACTAGTGTCACAATATCCAAAAAAGGTTTTTGATAGCGATACCAATTTATGAATTATGATACTTTTCTTCAACAAAATTGTCGCTCTTTCTGAGCCAGTGTAACCAGACTTATGAAAAAAAAAATTGATTACAAAAATAATATTTTGATAAATTTGCCATAGCAGAGGGCCTAATTAGTTTGTGAGGTATACCAGTAGTGTTCAGGCTCTTTCCGGGTTTGAACTGACTTACAGTGTCATTTATGTTCATCATTTACATGCTCAATAAAATTGTAGTTTATCTGTTCAGTGTTCAAGCATGAGTTTTTGACAATGGATAAGTAGCCTTCATTTTATAGGATTAGGCTATATATAGTTTGGATTATTGTAAAGATCAGGTTCGCCTGCATGGAGTGAAAGCAAATTGTTGCAAACAGGAAATATATGGCTTGGATATAATAATAATTTCACATTTCTTAAAAAGAAGTTCATAGCCTGTAGTTTTTGCACACCTGAGGGTAAAATGGCAAAGGTATAGCTAGCCAATATAATAAATCCACTCTTAAAACAACAAAAAACATTCTGACTTAGTTCTGAGTGTTCATTTTGTTTCAACATCAAACAACTTGAGGTTTTAGAACATTTTTACTTCAGAAGAATTTAAATAATTATTATTTATTTTTGGATCCACACCACTTTAACTACAGAGCTAACAGGTCTATTGAAGACCCATCACAACTGCTTCTCTCACTGCAGTGACTCACCTCAAACACCAGGGGAGCTATGCAAGGATTCTATTCATAGACTTCAGCTCTGCATTTAACACCGTCATCCCTGGCAGACTGGTCACAAAACTGACAGACCTTGGACTACCACCAACCACCTGCAATTGTGTTAAAGACTTTTTGACAAACTGCCCGGAGACTGAAAATAGGCCAATACCTCTCCTCTGCCCTCATCCTTAGCACTGGCACACCTCAGGACTGTGTGCTGAGTCAAGTCAAGTCAACTTGACCCCTCTACACCCATGACTGCACCCCCACCAACACCAGCATCAAGTTCGCGGGCGACGCAACGGATGGGACTCATCTCAGGAGGACATGAGACAGCCTCCAGAGATGAAGTCCAAAGAAATGCTACATGGTGCTCTGAGAATAATCTGGTCCTGAACTCATCAAAACCAAGAATATCATAATAAACTTACGCAGAGACTGAGCAGACCCTGATCCACTTGACAGGGGCTGCATGGAATAGGTTCCCCTCTTCAGGTTCCTGGGCACCCTTATCGCTGAGGACCTCTCCTGGACAGACAACACCACTGCAGTAGTGAAGAAGGCACAACAGTGGCTCTACTTCCTGAGGATCCTCAGAAAAAACTACCTGCTGGATAGGCTGCTGGTGTCCTATCGCGGTTCCATCGAGAGTGTGCTGACATACTGCATCTGTGTGGTATAGGTCATCAACATACCCAGAGGATCATGGGCTGCCCACTGCCCCCCTGGAGGACTTATTTAGGTCTCGCTGCTGCAGCAGAGCACCAAACATCCTGAATGACTCTTCCACCCTGGATATCATCTGTTTGACCTGCTGCCCTAAGGCAGATGCTTCAGGTCAATAAAATCATGGACAAACAAACGGAAAAACTGTTTTTACCCCACAGCCATAAGAGAACTGAACTTTGCTTAATTTTTCTTTTACATAGACTTTATTGCACTACATGTACAAATACTGATTTATCTTCTAAAATTATCTGCCGCACTATATTTTATATTTAAACAATCAACTGTTTATGCTGTTTTTGGTTAGTTCCTTCCTATTTATACTATGCACCCTAAGGATCACTGCAAAATTTTGTTTTACACTGTTTAATGACAATAAAAAGATTCTATCTACTTTTAGTGCATGGGGGTGTGCACGGTTTCTCTGTACTTTGGCCTTCATGTAATATAACGCTCAAATGTTTTACATAAAATTTTGAAATAAATGAAATGCATTGGCAATATCTCTGAACAGAAATGTAAATTATTAAACATAATTACTTGAAACAAAATATAAATTGCATTTTCATTAAAAAAATAAGGCTCTTGTAGAACTGAAAGGCTGCTTAGTATGCATATAAAACATTGTGAAAGGACACATCACTTGTTTCCCTTGCAAACCACTTTTTCTATGCATTCACATTATGGTATAAAATAAACAATAAATTCATAGATTTCCAACATCAGCTCAGAGATATAACAATGTATAATAATTTGAATGCATCAGGGGGAGATTTTTCTTAATGATAAGAAGCAGAAAACAAACACTCACTGTCGACACTAGTGCAAGGCGTTGACAGGTATTCACGTGAAAGTTTTGTTATGGATGGGATTTGTTGCTTCTCCAGTACTACAGTGAGTACCCAGATCTGGGAATAGGGGACTCAGAGATATCCTTGTATTTAAAAGTAAAAACAGAAAAATCACAATATTGTAACACAAGTTGAAAGCTTTCTTCTTCTACATGGTCATAATGTGACTTTTGTATGGTATGCGTTCCAGGACCAAAAGAGAGCACTAATCCTGTGTAATAAAATAAATATTAAATAATAATAATACTTTTTAACATATGTTGAATGTTTTTGGCTACAACTTGTAGCCAAAAACATTCACTTGTACTAGACTAATTATGAATCAGTATATAAGAGTTAACAATAATTGACACAGGAAATAATTATAAAATAGTGAGTCTGATTAGATTCATGTGTAGTCACAATAAGTCAGCTCTACATAAAATGAAATCTCTATCAGATAATTCATGTGAGGGGAAAAAAAAGTCTTATACATCAAATGAATTATCTCCAGATCTATTTGACTGTTTGCCTGTGTTTTCCTGGAGGATCTTGTAGTACATTTCCACCAGGGAATTGTTGCCATTCGTCCTGGTCTTCTTTGCTTCCGGCTCTGGTTTATCAGTTATTGCAATTGTTCCTCTTTTCCCTTTGCTTACCTATAAGGTCCTTGATTGAAGTAGTGGTCCTAGTATGGATTTGATTGCACTTTGAGCTGCATTTTTGGTATGAGAGGTTCTATTCAAATTAAGTTGTATTATTATCTATGAAATCATTACTAACTTATCAGTATAGTCTGAGTCTCAAAAGCCAATAGTCAGACCAATAGAGTGTGTATTTTGCACACAGTTTCCAGGCCAGGATGCTCTTTCATGCAGTTTGTGGGGGTCTGAAGCTGCTTCATTCTCTTAAGCAGAAAAAATAAGAAACTTAAGTACCACAACTTCATCTACTTAATATGTAAATTGCCTTGAGATAATGTATATGATGATTTAATGCTATAGAAATAAAATTTTATTGAATTGTGTTTCCATGCAGCACATTCTCTGTTGTGATCATGGCACCATTACCACAGCTGCACCTGTAGAGGAAAAAGTGACATTACTAGTGAAATAATGGCACAAAACCATACTGTCATGTGTACGTGACGACAACAATAGCAAAAACGCCAATTACGTAACCACACGATTTTACACATATTGAAATCCACCTTATCTTTTCAACCTTTAAGCAACTGGCATAATATCAAATAGTGTTTTGTAACTTTGTTACATGAACTGAGCTTTTAAACCACACATTATTAGGTTATTAGGTGTAAAGTATTTCTACATGCAGTACTGTAACTCTATGCTGTAATTTGGACTGTACTGTAACTCTTTACTGGTACCAGATGGTACTCCTACATTGGCCGACTGTCCTGCTAAAACTTGAAAAAACATGTGTAACTTACCATTCAGAAACAGCTTGTTGGTAGAGAGAGAAGTATGAAAGTTGCTGATTAAAGTATAAAATTCAGGAAATAAAGATTAATTGAAAGTGAAACTATTGGTTAGTTGCCACACTAACCAAAAATATAATCATCAGGTCAATGCCTGTGTTTGGAGTTTATATTAAACATCAGTGTTTTTTGTGTGTGACCCCACAGTCTGGGTGAACATCACAGCAGTGAGGAGGAGGAGAAGAGGGGGACAATCATGCAGCGTATCCTGACTCCTGGGACACTGAGGCGTATGGCAGCAGTGCGCCCACTCCTGGTTGGCAACACCCTTCCTAAGCCAGCAGTAGCACTGTGCTGCTGTGCTCTTCGTCTGATACAAGTGCCACATGCAGGCCAACACTGGTTCTCAACCTCAGCCTCTAGCATGGAGGCACATCAGCCGAAACACCAGCCACAACAGGCCAACACCACACCTCAGACCCCAGAGGTTCAGAGAGGGGAGGCTGGGCCTGATGCTGCAGAGGTGGATCCCCTGCAGGACAAGTCCATCGGCCTGTTCCAGAGGTTTAAGAGGACCTTCAAACAATATGGGAAGGTGATGATCCCTGTTCATCTAGTGACGTCCTCAGTCTGGTTTGGAACCTTCTATTACGCTGCTATGAAGTGAGTTTACTTTTGTTGTTAGTTTCTGGCTTTGTGTTTTACTTCCATGCTGAGGTAGGGCAGGGTTTTGTTTGTGGGCCCTCTTCCCCAGTTGCAGAATAATAAGACAAGTAATATTGTTCAGAAACACATTATAGAAATAGTCAGAAGTAAACTTCCTGGTCAAAGTTATTACCATCTCTGAATTTCAAGAAAATGGGAATGGTGTTCTCTATCCAGCGTTGGTTGAAATAAGGTTGTTAAGTCAGTTGACACCAACACAACAACATGCGCACTCACACACAAACAGTGTCATGGGGCACATGGGTAAACTCAGACTGGGTAGAAACAATAGACTTTTTAGAGCATAGTTCTTCTTAATTGTGAACTGGCACATCACTGGCACATTCAGCGATGCTTTGAAATGAAGATTCTGTGTTAAGCACAACCTTAAGCGAAAAAG